CAGTTCACATCTCCCCCACTTATCAGATTGTGTTGAAATATTAGGCAAAAAAAGCGTATTAAAAAATGTTTGATCATCCCAATTTGGAGCATATACTGAGACTAAAATGACAGGAAGTGCATATAGTTTTCCCCCCACAATAACATAACGTCCAGCAGCGTCCATTTTAACACTGGATACTGTAAATTGCACCTGTTTACTAACTAAGATGGCTACCCCTCTCGATTTAGATTGGAAATTAGACTGAAACACCTGACCAGACCAGCGCCTGCTTAGATTTGCACTGTCTGCCTTACGCAAATGGGTCTCCTGCAAAAAAATAATATTAGCATCAAGTTGTCTTAAATGTGTCATAACTTTCCTAAATTTCACTGGACCATTGAGGGATTTCACATTCCAACTCACACAGTTAACTGGGTGACTGTTGATGAACCTGTTAATATTAGAACTGCTCATGTATGGTCAATTGGACTGTAGTACAATATCCACAAACCATCACAAAAAAATAACCTGAAAAAGACATTCTCAAAACATATAGATCCGGTATAGTCCCACCCCTTTCTCCTAAAAAACACGAAGAACCCAACAAACAAAAAATTCACACATTTGTGCTTATACTGGGGGGCTTAACTCCCTGCCTGGACTCCCGCCACAACTAAATAACAATAACAAAAAAATAAAAAGGGGGGTTCCCTTACTTTAAAGTAKTATTACTGTTTATGCTCCTTGCTGTAGTGATAAATATATCACTAACCAAGATCTGGACAGACCCCCTGTGAAACTCTCGTACATAGAACAAAAAGAGGAATGTTGTCCCTCGGAATAAAGTCTAAAATTAAATCAAGATATTACGCGGGACATAAAATTAGAAGGTTCATTACAACCTGACAGTCATAATATATCGATGAGAGTTGGACCTGCAGTCAACGCCGGTCCTCGTTGTCCGTCGCCGAGATGATCCTCTTTTTAACGTAGTCCATTGCTTTATTGGCATCCAGGAACTCCTTGTTTTCCTCCCCATGAGAGATGCAGAGCCATGCAGGAAAAAACAAGCCATAGCGAACATCTCGTTGGTTGTGAAGAAGTCTCCTCACCTCCCTTAAATGCCGATCGAGCCCTGGCCACAGCTGCCGTGTAGTCAGATGTGATGATGATTGATGCCTCCTTAAAACGAAGATGGCCGTGGGTCCGCGCTCAACATAATATTTACACACATTCTTGATAATAGTGCAGCTTAGCAACAATGACCTGCGGCTTATCGCCTGACCTTTTTCCACCTGGAGAGCGATGGACTCGGTCAACCAGTGGCTCTTCATCCATCTGTAGGACCTCTGCTAGCAGTTTAGCCACTGCTGAAGTGGAGCTGAATTCTGGCGTCTCAGGAACTCCAATAATCCGCACATTGCACCTTCTCATGCGTCCTTCCATATCGTCACACTTCTTTTTGAGCCCATCGACTTCTTCTTTAAGTTCCAAGACGGTGGTGCACAGAGCAACCACCTCATAGGACCACATTGACAGGCCGTCCTCCACCTCCTTAACGCTCTGTTTAAGGTGGTCTAAGTCAGCATGAAGTAGCATCGTGCCACTAGCCACTTCCGCTCTCACCGCCTGTAGCTCTCCTTTAATAAGAGTAAACTCTTCTGCCAAAGCCGCTTTTATTTCGGATTTGATCACAGCTGAGAGATTGGTTGTTATAGCGGCAAGAATTTCAGACTTCAAGGAGAGTGCGTCCACCTCGCCGCGGGAGGGAGAAGAGGGTGCCGAAAATCCAGTTTTAGCTGCAGCCTACTCCAAGACGGCGTCGGGCCTAACAGCCGCCGAGCTAGAATGTTTGCCTTTCCTTGAGTTTGTCGCCATTCTTCTACTCTTCCAGGCAAGAATCACTCAGGGGTCAAGTGCAGACAGACAAAATGCTCAAAACAGCAAGGACATTCGGTAGAGAACCACAAACAGAACAGTCGGAGCGGGAGCCCACGCGACACACGTCTCACTCCTCCACCATCTTGCCCCCTATCGATGCTTCTTTAATGAAAAATCTACAACAAACAAAAGAATAAGACAAACAACCAGCCGAACTAGCAATCCTCAACATCTTTTTAAAGAAGCAGCCAAACTAGCAATCCTCAACAACTTTTTAAAGAAGCAGCCAAACTAGCAATCCTCAACAACTTTTTAAAGAAGCAGCCGAACTAGCAATCCTCAACAATGTTTTAAAGAAGCAGCTGAACTAGCAATACTCAACAACTTTTTAATTTTTACACCAGGAGCTAAAGGTCCTTTTCAGGCACTCAAATCCCCAGAAATGTATGGAATAAGCTGTAAAAAAGTTCATACACCACTAGTTAGCAGTGTTGTCATATTTTGTACATGAATTATTGCCAGCTAGTAAGTGCCAAATTGAACTTGCTCTTTAAAATTAGCTTCCGCTAATTTTTCTATGACATAAGCACTTTTGAGGTAGCGGACCTAAATATCTACATAAGCGTTTTAGAAATTGCGGAGTTAATTTTTGGATTAGCGCTGCCCACCACTGACTATGAGTTTAAAAGTGAATAAAAGTACATTTAGCTTCTTTGAACAAAAAAAAGTGATGTTTCTTTTTAGTACTGTAACTTTAGGACCCTACAAAAAGACCCAACTCCGTTGATTCATGTATCTTTATAATCCCAAGTAGTGATGACTTTATAAGTTTCCTTTTAATTAAAGAGAAAATTTACATCATTATTTCTCCTATTGCCTCTGATATTCTATCACATGAAAAAAATTGGAAATGTCAATAAAACACAATTTATTCTTGAACTGTTTTTGTCCCATTGAGCTCCCTGAACTGTCAAAAATAATAGCTTCATCCAAACCATCAGGATGTCTCAGATCTCATCCCAACCAGGCAGTTCAAAGAGGTGTTTCCCTTAATAAATATTCAAATTCTGCCTAATATATATTTAATGGATGGTTTTGTTCCACAGCATTTTAGGATTGCTTTAATAAAACTTTACCGAAGAAACTTGATCTAGAGTCAGGAGCTATGCCAGTTACATATACATTTTTTAATTTCTGTGTCATCTAATCTTAATCTCAGTCAGGGTCAAGAGTTTATCAGCACAGAAACAACACTTGTGAAAATTACTAATGATGAACTCATGGCCACAGACAGTGGACTTGTGTCCATACTTGTCCTGTTAGAAACCGGTACTTAACGGTACCAATTTTTGGTACTTTGTGTGTGTGTGTGTGTTTTTTTAATAATACCTTTTTTACATATTTCTCAATATATAAAGTTAACAAATATCAACACAACATACAACTCTTTGTATTGTAATATCAGTTTTTTAACTAATTTCTTTAAAGTGAAAACTCTTGAAAACAAGATTGTTTTGTCACATTACACAAATTAAAATCCAGCTCCACGTGTTTCTATTGATGTCATTTCCCCGCTAGAAACATGTGTGATGGAGGTCCAYGGAAGGCAAATAAGTTTAAATCAAATAAACAAAAGAGAATGGAGTTAAAATACATACAAGGTATTCAAGCTACGATTTGAGCATCCAAAACGTGTCCAATACTTCAAGATAGTTGCTTGTGTTCTTTCAGGTCTGATGTGTTCAGACTGTCAGGAAGCTCCTCTGTTGTTTTCCTCTGCATGTCTCTGTTTAATGGAGGATGAAATAAAGAAAGTGGTGGTACTTTATTTACTTTGAGCAAGCGAATGTCGTGCTCACAAGATAATTAATCCATCAGATAATTCAGAGGCGGTTTGTTCTGTGAGTTTTACTCCAGGAGCTGCGAGGTTTTCAAGCTTGTTCAGACTGAACTCTGTTTACTGAACCAGCGGCTGGTTATGTCATTACGCTGTAACGCGATGCTGCGTTCAGGACAAGCATGGAAAACTCACCACTCTTACACCAATACGGTCGCAATGATGCGTTTAGGTACCGAAACATGGTATCGTTTGATGTTAGATGAATAGATACTTGGTAGTACCGACAGAATTCAGTCTGTACTTAAAAAATTATCGTATTTGGTACCCATCCCTAAGTATAACATTATAGAATGGGAATATTTATCCCTAATATCACCCCCTTTTTCCCATAACTGCATGATTGAGTGATGCCATGTGATAAAAAACAACCTGCACTGCAGTTTACTTTTCTAGCTCACTGTATGCATCACAATAGCATTTCCTCTTCTTTGTTGACTCAAAAAAACAAGCAAGGATATATGTTTGTACTACTTCTTTTCAGTTTCATTTTGCAAGAAAAGCTACAACTACACAGTAACACAATTCAGACGAATTTAATAAAAAATATCTTTTTGTGCTTTTTACAGAGGGAGAGACTGCGAAACATTGAGAGAATCTGCAACCTGCTAAGGAAGGTAAGCTTGAAGAAAGGCTGTGATAAACTAACATGCATAGTATTGGCTTCTTGTATGAATCATACATGTAATCTAAATAAACACATATTGATATCGTCTGGCAATATTTGGTCTTTGCATTGTTTGCTGCCTGAATTTTCAGCAGATTCTTTCTTTGTCACTGTGCCACATGTTGGCCTGACAACCAAAGGGAGAAAGACTGTGAGAGCTGCTGTTCTCTGCAGAGCTGTGCTGTTTGTTTTTCTGTGTTTGCCTCGAGGAAGAAGCATGAGGATCCTCCCAGCTTCAGCGTGACATCTGTTTCTCCCTCCACCTCTCTGAAATTCATACACTGTGTCTGAATCTGTGCATCCAAGTGTGTTTGGGTGTATGCCTGCATTATACTGGAGGTTTATTGGTTGAACAGCTGATGTTGGTTATCAGTGTTGTCAGCTGGAGCCCTCCAGCCCTCGACCGGCCCCCTGGGGAGAGCATTTTCTCCACAGTCCTCTATCAGCAACAAATACACACACAGTTACACACATACACACCCAGATCTGCTGTCCTTGAAGCCGTGACCTTCTGGGATCACTCAAGGTGACTGTAGATGTACCACAACAGTGAAACATGAAGGAAAACAAAGAATAATAGCACTTTATTTACAATACACTTAAAAAACATGTCAGACCAAAGTACTGTACAGTGAAACTAATAAGGACATGAAAAAGGATAATAACACAAATATTAAAAAGCAAAAATTAGACAAAATTATAACAAATAGATAAATAAACACAATAAAGTTAAAGTTACCTCACATTGGGACTAGGGCCAGAGAATCACAGGATGGACTTGATTTTAGACAGCTCAAGTCAAAAAAGCAGGAAAAAGAAGTTTAGCAAATCTTCTGGATGGTTTCTTCTTTTAAGAAATGTTTTGTCTCTTCTCCAAGAGACTTCTTCTGTGTGAGGAGTTTCAGGTAAACTCAGCCTCATACGTATTGTCTCCACATGATGGACAAACAGGTTTAACAATGACAATCAACACTGTTTGTTCACAGTCAWAGGAGAAGCCTCAGCCTTACACTAGGTTGTTGTGGCCCTGATTATCCCTTTTGTTAGCAGGGGGCTAAGTCATACTTGGAATAACAGCATTGTAAGAGGGGGAAAACTGGACACGGAGTCCTCCCCCTGACAGTTTTTAAACAACTTGTTCTGAATTTAGAGTGGGACAATATGGCTAAATTTATTTCAAAATATAACTTAATTTTGGTTGACATGGTATAATTTGAGCAACAATATGAATAAAATGCTAAACAAAACCTGCCAGGAATACCAATATTTGTTTTGTCCCTGTATACGTATATACTTCTGGATTACAGATGATGTAGTATCGATGTCATGAAATGCAGATGGGGGCAGGAAGTAAATGAAGTCATGTTTCCATTTGTTGATTCAGTGTCAAAATGCCTAAATTCTGTGCCGTGTACAGTTGTTGCAGCCACTCTAATCAGGAGAAATATCAAAGTATTTTTTTCATGTTCTGATAGTAGTGTGTCGCAAGGGAGTTAAATTTTAAAAACTTGCAGAGAAAATTGTACAAAAGTGGATCAACAATCTACGGCTAAAAGCAGGAGGTGCGGAAATGAAGAATGCAGCAGTTTGCAGTGACTCCTTTCTAACAAGTCAGGATCGTATCGATTAAATCATATCGTCAGATATTTTCCTGGATAGATACTTGAATTTGGGTTTACAGAAGCTAAATAAATTATGTGCAAGTAGATCCAAGCACATAGAAATAACAGGAGTTAACTTGTTATAGAGTTAGTGATAGAATTGTAATCATAGGCTAACTACACGTCAATCACCATTTAAAGTTTCTTTGGATCCTAAAAGTTTGACCCAAACTGAATCAAAATAATTGTTGGCTTTGAGGCTCTTAAAAGCTTTTATCTGGCTTGTAGTAACTGATAACATGTCTGCAGCACCAGATAGTAGTTTATGTTGATCGCCTCAACGCTGTGTAAATTCTCCAGATTATATGACAAGTCTTTTTTATTAAGATAATATGAATCATATCCTAAATGTATGCATATTTTTTGCAATATCTTGTCTGTGCCAGCCCATTTAGGGCATTAAAGTACTTGCTGTGATCCATTTTGCTGTGTTTTGAACCAGAACAAATCACTTCCTGCCCCCAACCTGACATTCACGTGTAAGATCCTTGTCCACCAAGTTTCTTACACCTTCTCAATCATATGAGGCAACATGAGTTCTTTTTATGAAAGATAAACACCTCTTCATTGAATATGAGAAAAGACAATAATTGTACTTCCAGTCCAGTTCAATTTTATAAACTAAAGTTATTTATTTACAGACAAATGAACTTAACTATATACAATTAAAGCTTGTTAATCAAAACTTTATGAGATAAGATATTATTATTTTTTTTTATTACTTTATTTAACCAGGTAAACCCCATTGAGATCCAGATCTCATTTTCAAGGGGGACCTGGGCAGAAGTCTGCAGTACACAGCAACCTGGTTACAAACAAAATTGATTAATACATACACGCAATTATAAAACAGAATAAAACAATTTAAAAACAGTGACACTGTTTAAAAGACTCTTGTTGCCTTTTTTTAAGAATCGCTCGAAATGAATCCAGTGAAATCAATTCCGACATCTTGATTTCAGACTGAAGCTGATTCCAGGCTGAAGGAGCCATCACACTGAAAGCTTGCTTTCCTTTTTCAGTTCGGCAGTGAGGAACATGCAAAAGAAAAATGTTGTTGGAACGTAAAAAATGGGAATTAACAGATCTGTGTAAAAGAGAGTTTAAATATGCTGGAGCCAAACCGAGTAAAGATTTATAGATCAGGATCATCAAGTGATTGCTTCTCCGTACGCTTAAAGGAGGCCATTTAGCTTCTGCATACAAGTTACAATGATGTATRAAACGTCTGCTACCAGTTACAAACCTCAAAGCACAATGATAAACAGTATTTAATGACTGAAGGCATTTAGTCGAAGCATTCATATATAAAACATCACCATAGTCCAGGAGTGGCAGGAATGTTGCAGCTACCAATTTACTTCTAGCTTTTTAATTAACAATAATTTATTTAATATTTATTAACAATAAACCACCTCGCATCCGATGTGAAGTATTGTGAATAAACACTCAGAAAGTGAACAYATGAAACAGTAAACAAGTTTTGGATGTTATAAAAACTTAATTTACAGGCATTTAACTTATGGCAAGATTTAGATTAAGAAAGGAGGAAAGAGAATTAGTAAATATTTAGTTTTAACTTTTTATCTTATCAAGATTACCAGAACAACCCAGATCAGCTTCTGTCTCCCACTCAGCTGGACTCTCTAGCTCAGTGGTTCCCAAAGTTGAGGTCGGGACCCAAAGTGGGGTCCTGAAACATCAAGGTGGGGTCCTGAAAAGATTTTTGAAATTAATTACATTTTTGCTTTATTTGCCTAAACTATATAAATATAGTATAATAAATATTGTTACTATGCCCATGTTTAGTTGACCTGATACAAATGTTTATCATCCAAAAACAGTTGGGGGCTCAGGTCTCTGCTACTGTTATTTTGTGGGTCAGAAGCTGAAAAGTTGTGGAACCACTGCACTTCAAAAATCAATTTAAAGGGTAATTGTTATGATCGGGTGAGTGAGCTCTGAATTAGTTCCGAACACAGATAAAGGTTTAACAAGTTTATTGTTAGAATTTGCAATTGGAGGTCGAGAATGGGATTCCGGCAGCAGCAGGTCTGCACACAGAGATGGGAAGTTAGGTTGGCACAACAAGATTATATTATTAAACAAAATAATATAATACACCAACCTTCTCAGGAGGGACTGGGTCCGGGTTGAAACAACAGCCACGGTGTTTTGGTTCCGGGTGGTGTTGTAAGTGGAGGTATTGCTGCTGTGGGGTTTACTCAATGTCAACAACAAATCCAGGGTCATACACGGGTGGTCAGAGATTGTTACCAGGTTTGAGGGGGCAGGCTGAGCCGTTGGTCCAGAGATGCGTTCCGTGGTCGAGATCCAGGAAGTCCGATGTGGCGAGGTATCGTGCAGGGGAAAGGCGAGAGGCAATAATCCAAGAGACAGAAACAAGGTCGTTACCGTGAGAGCAGATGACAGGCAGGATCCGACAAGGGCTGAGGCAGGAGACGTTAAACCAGGAGACATGAGCAGGGTCGGGGACATGAGGCAAGAGCAGGACAAGGAACAAGAACGCTGGAAGATCATAGACGAGCTGATAAAAATCTGGCAATGGGCTGGAGGCTGGAACTGGGATATATACTGGCAGGAACAGGTGACATGAATCAGTTGATTAGGGTTTCTGTGACGGGAGGGGCAGAGGCAATGAGCAGGGCAAGGCAGACAGGAGCAAGAACTGGGCCAAGAACAGGCAGACAGAGACAGAATCATAACAGTAATAAAATAATTGGTGATGTAATATTTTCCCTATAATTATTAGAAAACACAAAATAAGTATAAATAAGCATTTATATTTGTGTAGCCTTTGTTTTTGGTGTTATTAACAAAGTGTTTGTACTCAGACCAGTAATTTTTGGGGTCACAAGTTTTTGCCATGAATATTTTGTGGGTCAGTAGATAAAAAGTTTGGGAACCACTGCTCTAGCTGACAAAAACTTAGCCTCTACCTGTAGATGGCTTCACCGTCACAGAGGCAGGTCAGGAGGGTGGTCAGCACAACTCCCCAGGGTTTTTGTTTACAGCATCACAGAGAATCTGCCGTTTGTAGGAGGCGAGTTGGCTCCTTCTCTCAGGATAGTAAAAAATATTCAAAGGTGATTTGAGGCTGGCATGCCCAAACCAGACAGCAGATTTTATCTCTTTGGCAAATTGAGACAAAAATCTCTGACATACCCACTTCCTGAGGGAAGGAAGCTAGGAACAAAAAATAGCTGTTTCTCGTTCCTCATTCAGGTTTCAGACTGATGAGCCAAAATCTGTGTTAGTACTCTAAAGAGCAAGACAGCTAAGTGACCTTGGTTAGTTAAGGCAGAAACAGAATGTTGAGTCTGAAGAACTCCTCGGCAGATAAAAACTTCTTTCACCTGGTTGTTGAACAATAAGGTACTTTGACACAGTTTGAATGGACTAAAAGTCATTCAATGAATGCTCAAGAATCATTTTCACTAAACTGGCCTCATGCAAGAACCGTTGGTACGCACAGATTTGTTCTTAAGTTGTGAGTACGAGTGATTTAGGAGAATTTGTGACATTCACCAATGTTTTCATATTCTAAGAATTTTTTCAGATACGA